GCCCCCCCCCCCCCTCCCTGGTTGCTAAGACCCTGAATTTTGATACAAGAAACACTGGAATCTGTCAATCTGTCATATATGTACACAACTATACTATTTGGCATTAGTTACATTAAATTACATAATTTAATATAAAGACTGAGTCAATTGCAAGCCTTGCATGAATTAAACTAATGTTTTATATCATCCTTTTAAATATTGTCGCGGCAAATTCATATTTTTAGCCGAAACATCAAGCACGTGCATTCGCAAAATTCACGAATGAAGACAGTAATACAGTATTAAAATATTTCCTTTCAAAATTGCTCTATTATAGACCTATACATAAAACATAAGAAGATCCTTAGCTGGATATTACTTAATCATCCCTGATGTTTCATCTTCGCTTATTAAAGCTTCATCGGCTCGAAATATCGAGCGAAATATTGTAAATTATACTTCGCAATTGTCGCGGCAAATTCAAATTTTAAACCGAAACATCAAACACGTGTATTCTCAAAATACACGAATGAAGATAGTAAATATTTCCTTTCAAAATTGCTTTGTTATACATAAAACATAACATGATTCTTAGTAGGATATTACTCCGTCATCCCTGATGTTTTATCTTCGCTGATTAAAGCTTCATCGGCTCGAAATATCGAGCGAAATATTGTAACTTCGAAATTACGAATGATTATGAAAAATATGCCGACGTTAATTCAGTACTTCCACTGAATCCACTCCCCAAAAAATAATTTCCTTCACAACTGCTCAAAATTTCCGAATTTTTGACAAAAATTCCTTGCGCTAAAAAATGAAATTACAATAATTTATCCTAAATTGCGGTGTGTTTATCGGGCGAGAAAAACCACGAACGTTTCAATTATAAATCAATTATAAAGAAACTTCAACAGGAGGCTTGAGGTTATCCCTCAGAAATTTTTCAGATTTTCCATTCCCCAGGTCGACATTTTCTAACGCGAATTTGCTGGGGGATTGCAGCTATAATCTTAGGATTTATTAGATAAAACGTAATATCCTGATTGCCTTGCTGAAAACAAAATTCTTGCCGTTTCCTGGTATTTTTTTTTTTTGTTTTTGCAAGAAATTTCCTTGCAAGTGGAAGCAGTGCATGGGATGACCAGTGGGGATGACGCTGTACGCAATAGTTGAAGCCTCCCCTTTTCCTCATCCACCGCCCCTCCAATTATTAATGATTGGTCCCTTATCTGTGTTTATGTAAAATACTGTTCTATTTTATTTCATTTGCTAAGTAGGAAAATTCAGTATGTTTTACTTTAAATAGACTATTTTATACATATCTGCAAATTGTAATCCTGAATTCCTGTAATTGTAAAATAGGACTAAAATTATGTATTTTATTATATTTTGCAAATTAGGGAAAGTAAATAGGTTTAAAATAGCATATTTTATCCCTATTTGAAAAATATGGCATTTTTAAAAATGTGAAATAGGTTTAATATAGTCTATTTCATTCTGTTTTGCGTATTCTAAAAAATATATAGCTTTAAAATACTATATTTTATATCTATTTTAATATATGTAATTTTCTGCACGTGCAAAATATGTTTACAATAGTCTATGTTATTGTTATTTTGGTAACTATGTTATTTTGCTAACTAAAGAAATAGTATATTTTATTCCTGTTTGAAATTTGTGTATTTAATTTGCAATGTAAAATAGGATTTAAACAGCCTATTTTATTTTGAGTTTAAAATTAGTTAATTTATATCTATTTTAATTTCCAACTGCTTTTTTGTGAAGTAAATTAGAATTTAAATAGGCTATTTTAAACCTATTCTTTCCCTGAGGCTCTGGAAAATAGTATTAAAATATGCGATTATATCCCTATTATCCATAAAAATAGGAATAGAATAAAGTAAAAAGTAATAAAATATGGCTCTTTGTTTTGGTGAAATATTATGATATAATTAAAATAGGGTTGCCTGTCGATAAAATAGCATTAAAATAAGGGTGATAGTAATAAAATAGTTTTAAAATAGCAATATAATATGGTTATTTTCGCAAGGGTTCTTTAAATTCAAGAAGTGAACTTTTATAGAAATACAGACATAGAAACAAATTTTTCTTAAGCAATATACATTACTTAATATAATCTGTATATATATATATATATATATATATATATATATATATATATATATATATATATATATATATATATATATATATATATATATATATATATATATATATATATATATATATACAGGGTGTATCAAAAAAAACTGAACAGATTTGAAATTGCTCTCAATTTCGCAAAACACCTATTTGTATCTGTTTTTATATATATATAGCTTCTTTGGGTACTTATAATGTAAAATAATGAAAAAAATTTCTCGAACTCAAATTTTGTGAACCAGGGGGGGGTGTCTTTTCCAACAAACTAAAAATGGCTCGCGCACAAAATTTAAAAGTTGTAATAATATTTTGAGTTGATAGATTGAAAATTTGTCGGGTTTTTAATTACTGTACAAAATTTCAGACAATTTGGTTTAGGTTAAGCCCTTTAACTATTCATTTTGTTCTAAAAAGTCAGCCTTTCGCATGCTTAATTAATGCCTTTACCTAATTTGCATATTGCTGATATATGCAAATTAGGCAAATGCATTAATTAAGCACGCAAATAGCTGATTTTTCGGGAAAATTGTAACTTTGCGTGAATAGTTAAGGGGCTTAAACTAAACCAAATTGTCTGAAATTTTGTACAGTAATTAAAATCCCGACAAATTTTCCATCTGTTAACTCAAAATATGATTGCAGCTTTTAAATTTTGTGCGCGAGCCATTTTTAATTTGTTGGAAAAGACACCCCCCCCCTGGTTCACAAAATTTGAGTTCGAGAAATTTTTCTCATTATTCTACATTATAAGTACCCAAAGAGGCTATATATATAAAAAACCGGATACAAATAGCTGTTTTGCGAAATTGAGAGCAATTTTAAATCTGTTCAGTTTTTTTTTATACACCCTGTATATATATATATATTTTTTTATACACCCTGTATATATATATATATATATATATATATATATATATATATATATATATATATATATATATATATATATATATATATATATATATATATATATATATATATATATATATATATATATATATACTGAAGACTATATTCAAAAAAATAGTCGATGAGTTGACGTAAGGAACAAGAGCGCTCAATACCATAATAAGTAGAGCGGAATTACTTCAGTCAAGGTTTGAATGTTTGCGTCGCTACTCTGAGTTTCACGCTTTACGCGATCATATATATATATATATATATATATATATATATATATATATATATATATATATATATATATATATATATATATATATATATATATATATATATGTAATCTATACGTAATTTAATACTTGAATGTAGATTATGTATGTACATGTAAGGTATACACACATGCATGTATATGCGCGTGCCGTACTGTTTGCGACGCAATATGCTTTATGACGTAATAAATAATCGTCATGCCATATTTGAAAAAGCTAACATTGTTACTTGAAGTTGTCAGGAAATATAACGAATGATGCGTTAAGAATTGCAAAATTGATTTATGATATCTATTTCATCATAGTATTTGGCATGCATGATCTGATGGAGGCGAATAACACATGGATTTGCTTGTATCTCTTTTCTATAGTTGATTTTGGATTTTTTTTCGTGAAGCTCCGGGCTGTTGATGATGCAGGAATTGGGGAAGCTGCTTATTCAAATATTGTTGCGATTCTGACTGATTCATCGACCACAATTCTGCCTGAATCAACAACACAATTTCTACCTGTTTCAGCAACTCCAACCGTTGGAGTGGTAACGGCGGCAAGTAAACCACGGGGAACTGATAAAATTATAGTTGCAGCAGGAGTGGCAGGCTCTTTTCTTTTTCTCGTGCTTGTTGTAATTGTGTTGTTTTTCGTGCGAAAACGAATACGGAATAAACAGCGAGAGCAATCAGTTAAGGTAAAGATTCTTTTCCTCGTATTATTGGTAATATTTTACTGCATAACCATTTTGAAACAGTTATTGGATGAGGAATTAGCTCTTACATCCCAATAATCAAGGTTGCAGATAGCACATGTATATCACAGAAACAGGAAAAAATAGAAAATTAATATATCTACGTTAGCGTCCAAACAATGTACATTTTGCAAAATAAATTCGGGAAACGTTGCTCGTTCATGTTAGAATATTTTGTTTTTATTCATCGTTGGATTGACATTTCTTTTAAGACACACCAAACAGTTTCTTACGGTCCCAAGGTACGTTGTGATCAACACAGGTGTTCTTTACCCTGAAAAACCCTCACTCTAACCATAGTTAATATAATGAGAGGGTTTGGAAAGCCCGGTCACGTGGCAAAATAACTTATTGGTCTTTGTCACGTGGAAGCCGAGGTGCATTCGATGAGGTGTTTACATAGTAAAATCATATACATTAAGCTAAGGGGAACACAAAATCATCGTATTTAGACAATTTTTTCGCGATGCCAGGAGCGAATTCCTCCATATTTGTTTACGCGACAAGTCGAAAGCACGTGGAGTAGGAATTTTTAAAATTCCTGCAGAAACAGATGAATTATCGAAGAAAACCCGCGAAGCTTGGATAAGTGCATGTTTACGAAAGACCGCTCTGTGAACGAATGTTTGCGTCGACAAATGAATTGCGGAAACATGTATGTCTGTGAGAGGCATTGTAGGAAAGAAGAATATGAGTGCTGTATTAAAGAATACATTAGAGACCTTACGATTTTAGGACGGCAACGCGACGGCAACGGCTACCAAATACCAATACAACAGATCATTGAAAAGAATTGAAAAATTACAATATATGAATAATTTAGACATTGTCCTCGCTCTGTTTAGAACGCCAAATCAAAGATTTTCACGTCTTCATACAACGGCTGCATTTCAAGCAACAACAAGTGCAACCTTAATTTAAATTGGGTTCAGGAGAACTCTACCCATGTCTTCAACTTCTAAAACTGTATTAAATTCATACGATATATTGATGATATACGACGAATTATCTTTCCTACCATTCATTTGAAGGAGTTTGTTTTGGCCGTCGCATCGCGTTGCCGTCCTAAGTCGTAAGGTCTCTATTATTATCTCAGACGCGACACTTTAATTAATATATATCAGTGTGGTGTTTGAGGACCTTTAGAGTCGAAAACAATAGTGCTCTGTATAGATATTGCTCTATGGCCTTTAGGTCACATTGAGCACTCTACAGGATGAGCCATTGCTGCATACGCATTATGCGCATGCTCACTGCTTGCAGTTTGAGCACTCTGGCAATGGTTTGATGTCCCACATTCGTGAGACATCAAAGGTAACTATATATATATATATATATATATATATATATATATATATATATATATATATATATATATATATATATATATATATATATATATATATATATATATATATATATATATATATATATATATTCATATATATATATATATATATATATATATATATATATATATATATATATATATATATATATATATATATATATATATATATATATATATATATATATATATATATATATATATATATATATATATATATATATATATATATATAACTACAGACGGTACCGTTTCGGCCTTTTGGGCCTCATCATTGTAGTGCTGATGAGCAGGATGAAAGTAACCACTTAATAAATAGTTACCTTTGATGTCTCACGAATGTGGGACATCAAACCATTGCCAGAGTGCTCAAACTGCAAGCAGTGAGCATGCGCACAATGCGTAAGCAGCAATGGCTCATCCTGTAGAGTGCTCAATATGACACAAAGGCCATAGAGCAATATCTAACTATATATATATATATATATATATATATATATATATATATATATATATATATATATATATATATATATATATATATATATATGCTTATTAAGCAAATGCAAATGGCTATTAAGCATATTAATATAAATGTATGTGATATATCTACGAGCTTTATAGATTATTAGTGGCATTAGTGATTTTTACGGTATAAAACGGGAGCAGATCGGCCAATGGAACACAAGAAGGTCTTAAACGTTGCCTTTTTCATTGGCAAAGTACGATAAAGTCTTTACATTTTTCTCAAAACGTTGTAAAACCATCGAAAAAACCTCAATTAGTATAGAATTAATATATAGATTATACTATGAAATCGCCATGTTATGAACCTCGACTGTCACGTGATGCGTCTATTCGAGTTTATGTGTTAATAGGTCACGTGTTGCTTTGAAGTTTGCCGGCCTTCCAAACCCTCTCATTATATTAACTATGCCCTAACTCTGCCACAAAATTAGTTGAACTATTTTGACTGATTTAACATCGCGACTTCTATTACCTGCCATTCATGCATTCCTTACACAAAGTCCTAAGATGTCTTGGTAAAGCTGGCGATTGCTGGAAAATTGCGTGCTATATAGGCTCAACTTGCAATCAACATTTCAGTGATTTTCATATTTAAAGTAGTGCGTTCTTCCCATTAGCCATGTAGTTATTACACTGTAGAATAATTCGATATATTGCTTTCTTTTTGAAAATTTAATTAATTATTCAATTTCTCGCGAGAAGAATAGAATATTTTCGCCGTGGGAAAATCTGAAGATGTTTCAAACCTATAGTTTAATCGAGTAATTCAATAATTCTTGCTTCCTGCTCTTGCTCGTAGGAATTTCAGTCCTGGCATGAGAGACACGCCGAGTGTTCAAGCTCTCCAACCTCTGCTTTGCTTCAACTGGACACGTTCAAACGCAAAAGAGGTGAGTATTACGAACAGTGTTGCGTTCTATGAATTATCAACAAGTGTGAAGGCTCGTACGTATATATATATATAAGGCTGATTGGCTAAGAGCTGTGTTGATATAACTCAATGTCTTTTTATAGTTAGGTTTCATGCGATTTATTTCCGCCCAGTTGATAATATTGTTTGTTTCCATATAAGAGGCGTCACTATCATCCGTGACCTTAATCCCTAGATTTATGTCATCTGCAAATTTAACAATTAAGTTTGAGGCTTGAACAGGACGGATATCATTAATCATTATAGAAAACAGTATTGGGCCTAATACTGATCCTTGAGGAACTCCCCGATTTATAGGCAAATATTCTGTTTTAACGCCATCAACAACGACTCGTTGATACCTATTGGTTAGGAAATTGATGATCCAATTGGTAATATAGGAACTAATAGGAAGCTTCTTCAGCTTGTTGCATAAAATCTCGTGCGGTACCGTGTCAAAAGCTTTGCTGAAATCAAAAGAGAAGACGCGTACCATACTAGCATTACCATCCAACCATTCCATCCAGGTATGTTGCGCTTTTATTAGGGCCATTGTAGAGCTATAACCTCTTTTATATGCAAACTGATCTTTATGGATGTCATTTTCCATCACCTGAACTAATTCAGTTGTATAGATTGCTCTTTCAAAAAGGCGAACAGTTATATTAGTCAACGAAATGGGTCGTAATTGGTTTGATTCTGCGGAGGAGATTCTTTGGGGACAGGAAAAAGATTTGCAAGTTTCCAACTGTCAGGAACAATGCCCAGTTTGATTGAGCTGTTAAAAATGATGGTTATCACAGGCGCAATATCATATCCATATAGGTGTTCCAAAACCAATGTGGTAACCCATCTGGACCCGAGGTGGTTCGTTTCTGATATAATAGTAGTATACAAAAAGTATGGACGGATAATTCAGGGAATAGGGAGAGGTTGAGGGGTAACACGGGGAATAGAGAAAGTTTGAGGGGTAACATAGTCAGGATCTGTATTAATAGTTTGAAAATGCTCATTCATTTCCTTTTGGATCAATAATGTGGCTTAATGGTACTTAACTATTGCCACGATCAGTTATTTTGTTAACTAATGACCACCATCTTTTATATATATATATATATATATATATATATATATATATATATATATATATATATATATATATATATATATATATATATATACATAATGCAAAGCTCACTTCCCTCGTGGTTGTTTGAGCACTCTGGCCCCATGTCACTCTGCGCATGTCTGGATGCGTTGATGGCTCGTGTTGTACCACACGCGCTTGGGAGGGCAAGTGTCATGTATATCAATACGAAAGTCATTGCGTGTCTAGATGTGTACCAAGCTGCACTGATGAGGCGTAGGACGCCGAAACATGCATGTCTTCAGATTGTGCTATTACGCTCCTTCACTTCGGTGTTATAGAGCACTCTGTGGAGTTAATTGGGTGTCCATTAGCAATAATGCAAAGCTCATTTCCCTCGTGGTTGTTTGAGCACTCTGGCCCCATGTCACTCTGCGCATGTCTGGATGCGTTGATGGCTCGTGTTGTGCCACATGCGCTTGGGAGAGCAAGGGTCATGTATATCAATACGAAAGTCATTGCGTGTACGGCAAGTTGTTCGCTTTTTATGTAAATGTTCGACTTTATTTCTTTATTTTATATTTTGGACTTTATTTAAATTGTCGGCTGGTCATGGTTTTTCAAAAAATAAGAACACAGTCTTATCACCGCCTGATGGAGAGTTTATATACCAATTGGGTTATTCTAAAATCTAATATTTAATATCTAATCTTCTAGGATTAATATAGCTATCGCGGGCGCGATGCGAAACAAATGTGATAAGTGTTTTAAATGAAATTAAAATGTTTTGATTTGGAAATTATATAACCTCAAATATTATTCACACTTTTAACTCAACACAAATTGAAAAGTTGCATGAAGACATGTGTAAATTACTTGCAATCATGTACCATACACCCTTGAAAATTTAAAATAGAGCATAATTTGCAATTATATTCATTCATGACACCACTATACATGACCACATCATATGCAAATTGTAAATTATATCGAGATTTTTGGTCCAGTCCAGTTGACCGATTAGAAAAAACCGCATCACATGCCAATTGCGAAACGTCATGTTCCCTGAATGCTTTGATGACATCGGGCAACTGACGATCCCGTATATGTTATCAGATAGTCCCAAGAAACAGGCTAGCTGTTTCCTTCGCTCATATTAAGTAATATTAATCAAATGTTGCGAAAATTTCTGGTTTAATATTAGATAATTGAACGCCTCGATCTTTATTTACCTGTAGAATATAAAATTATATTTCAGAAATACAGCCAGAAGAAATTTCATACGTCGTGCTATTGAAAGACTGGGATATATCACCAAGCCATTTGAAATTACTGGATAAAAAATTAGGAGCTGGTCAGTTTGGAATGGTCAAAGAAGGTTTATATACATCTTCTGAAAATAGCATTCCTGAGGTTGTTGCTGTAAAGATGCTGAAAGGTATTGTCATAATTTTAAAATCATACTTCTGAGAATAGAGTGGTAAACAATGGGTATAGATTTTATCATTAACTTGCCGAAAAAGATGCCAATAACAATTCATTAAGGTCCTCACATACCGAACGCGATTCGACAACACGACGCGAATTTTCAGCTTTTGAAAACAAATAAAACCGTCAACGGATAAAAATTTTACAAGATATGCAGACCAAATAGCTAAAATTGCTTAGGTAATTCCAAATATTTGAAAAACACTGAAAAATATTGAAGTTAAATGTCATTGAAAATTGAAAATTCGCGTCGCGTTACCAATTCGCGTCCGGTCTGTACGGACTTTTATGGCGAAGGTTAATTACTTTAATTATGATTTTTGGTGGAATTATAGGATGGATGTCGGTGGCTAAATATACGACAATATATTTGTTATTATGAGCATTTACTCTTGAAGTGAATAGTGCTTCACATGTAATTCGATTGGTTGCTCAGGTCCGGATATCCTTGCACTAATCAGATTCTGACAAAACCAAAATGGCTTTCCCGTTCATTGCGCAACAAACCAAACGTCCAAATATTTGTAGTAAACGAAGCTGTTGTTTTGCCAAACACGAAAAAGACTAAAGAAGTTCTGTTGAACAGTGTATAAAGGCAATGCATTCTTTAATTAAAGCTATTTATAATGAATAGTATTACTAAAAGCAAATTACTAAAAGGTGAATTATACAATTGGTTTTAAAAAACCCCGTTTTTTGTTTTTTTTTATTATTTTTGTTTTGTTGTGGTATATGCTAAAACAATTACTCGCCTCATGCAGTGCCGGTGAATAACGTATTCGGTTCGGGTTTCGGAGAATATTGCTCCACTTCCACTTCGATGACTAATTGTTAATTAATAATTATTCTAGGCGACAGGCATATTGGTGTTGGTGTATAGTATGTATATTGTAAAATATTGTTGTCAGATGTACGAAATTAATTCCTATCAGACAAAGCGAAACAAGAATATTTGATTAAACTAAAACTGTAATTTAAGCTTTAATTAAATTGAGCAAAATGAAAGTGCACGCCATAGCCCGAGGTGATTTCTAAATATAATCTTTAATTATTTTAAAATCATTTTAAGACCATTTAAATCCGCAATGTAACCAAACGCTTCGTTTACATTTTGAACTCATTGCTACAGTTGTAAAATATGATTAGATATACATTATACTGAACTTTTAACACTCTTCTGATTCGCTATGCTTGTAAATGAATACAGACTAGAGATTCAATTCAAAAAATTTCGAAAGGTGTGAAATATTAATAACATTGCAATGGTCGTGTCCCGACCATTGGAATGTAAGTAGTAATATAGGGGCCGATCGATCCGCATTTTTGCGGTGGTGGAGTGTGGTGGAGGAGTGAGGAGGAGTGAGAAGGAGGAGTGAGGAGGAGGTGGTGGAGTGAGGAGGAGGAGTGAGGAGGAGGAGTGGGGAGGAGGAGTGAGGAGGAGGAGTGAGGGGGAATAAGGGTGCGTAGTGACGTCACTCATTAACATACGTCATAATTATATACAATGACGTCAAGCGGGCGAGTTTAAACAAGATCGGGCGGAACTTGCAGACTACGCATTTTTTAGTGTCCCTTCACGTGTGTGATACAATAGTTAGGGCTATATACCAGAGAATATGTTGTTGTCTGGAGTTTTATAAGTACAGCTCTAGCATTTTGCTGTTATTGTCAAGTGATTCCTTTAATTTAGCTCCTAGAGGAGTAAAAAATCTGATACTATATGAAATAGCATTAGTGTTATATATCTAAAACTTATATATTCGGGGTATACAGCTATATGTTTTGTTGTTAAGTAATATATAAATATTATCACGCGTCAAAACGCTGAAAAATAGCATGCGGTAAGAGTTATTATGTATCTACAATTAAACTAATATTTAAATCCCGGTCTGCCATATGAGGTCTATATACGAGAGAATATGTTGCTGTCTAGAGTTATACAAACACATGGAAATTAGAGATTATGATATATAATTGTCAAGCGATTTCTATATTTTATTGCTAGTTTTTTAAAGTACTAAAAGTCGGATAAGGTTAATAAATTTAAGCTATATTAAAGCACACCGGTTGCTATGTGTTGTTAGGATGACACTAATTAAAGGATTAACTTTTATCAGAGATTTGCATTTTTCTACTGTGTGGATAAATACGGGTAGATTAGAATATTCATTGCGCGGGCGTCGCGGGTTATCCGTGCGGGAAGAGAGAAAGCAATTTAGACAAGACAGGAGCGCTTTGCAGCCAAAGGTTTACACAAGAATTCAGTATTAAAATACATTTATTTATTCGAGACGTTTACAAAGTTAATGTGGTCTACTTCTTAGAGCATAATGTGTTTGATTTTATTTAAATTACGCAGAACAATTTAAATGTTTTTTGTCATAAGAATCGTTTGGTTTAATTGTTCATTCGCAATGGTTTCTTTAACAAAAGTTCGGACCGTTGGCTCGTCTTCGTGCAGATTCACCCACTTCATACGACCCGATTGGTTCATTATTTTGACAGGCCAATAATTTTCTCCGCCGATGTAGACACCCTGATGGATAGGATTAAAAATACTGCGCGATGACTTATACATCTCTGTGATAACATATCCTTCGGGAATGTTACGGACCACCTGTGCTTCCTTGGTGTAGATTTGCCATTCGGAGATAGTTGCATCCGACCAGTTAATATGCCTCTGATATTTAGGTTGTTTCCTTCTAGGTTTGGTTTCGACCGGTGTCGGCTCGATACTAGTACTGTTCACTTTAGTTTGGGTGGCGAAGAGATAAACACGGCAGTCGCCAAACAGATCCCCAAGAACTTGCTTATCTGCTGGTGTATCAGGCTTGTTATCCACCAACAAATATCCAAACGGTTTTTCAGTCTCTTTGCAATAGGCGTTCATAAAATGGACTCTATTCTGATCAAACATTCGTTCTCCAACAATTCCAATTTGTTTCCTATCACTAGGACTTCGGAAGAGAGCAAGATATTGGCTATTTCGGCTAATATCTGTATTGAATATCCCCTTAGGAAACATGTTCTGAAGCAAAAGGATAACACTAGCGTTTCTATGACTTCCCTGGGTAAATAATCGAGCTACCACAGGACGGTCTGTCGCTTCGGCCATCAAATCATCCAATATGATTACGTTGTTGTACCGGGTATTAATCTCACTCAGATCCTCGGACAACTCGGGCGCACCTCTTTGAAATCGGATGCTTTTCCCAAGGAACTTTTATAACTCATCGTAACGATCTTGCCATTGATTGTAGCACCAATGAATCCGAATACTTCTCTGCTCCCCTTACACGATACGATTGTTTTCCAATATTTTTTGGATAAAATAAATTTTCCCACTTTGGCTCGGACCCACGACCATTAGCGAAAATTTATGGCAGAAGTTAAATTCTGGATAGGGCTTGATGGTCAAAGATGTTGTAAACGTCGGTACGGTTTTTGTTGGTTTTAGTAGATACCTTGTTTTCTTTCGAACACATTTCATTTCTTTTAGTATATGGCCGCTCGTATGGGCAGCAAACTTGAGTTGTGGCTATGCGGTGCTGAGAACCTCGCCCTTCCTAACCACTTTTTCCTTTGATCTCCGTATAAGTTATGTACTTGGCGCAAATGATCACTTATATATAGAAGACAAGGCTTGTTACAGAGAGGACAGTATCTTTTGTGCTTATAGGGCATGTTGACACTTTGAAAGTTCAATCATAAATGACCGAGAATAAATGGTTTGAAAACATTTATATATATATATATATATATATATATATATATATTTTTTTTTTTACGGCGACATGTGGGTGTGATGTATAGGGTCGATGTGGGGTCGATGCAGGGTCGATGTAGGGTCAATGCAGGGTCGATGTAGGGTCGATGTAGGGTCGATGTAAGGTCGATGTAGGGTCGATGTAGGGTCGATGTAGGGTCGATGTAGGGTCGATGTAGGGTCGATGTAGGGTCGATGTAGGGTCGATGTGGGGTCGATGTAGGGTTGATGTGGGGTCGATGTGGGGTCGATGTAGGGTCGATGTGAGGTCGATGTAGGGTCGATGTGAGGTCGATTTAGGGTCGATGTAGGGCTAGGAGTATAGGAGATAGGAGCCACCAAGGTCCTAGTGATAGGAAACAAATTGGAATTGTTGGAGAACGAATGTTTGATAAGAATATAGTCCACTTTATGAACGCCTATTGGCGACTGCCGTGTTTATCTCTTTGCCACCTGGTGAATAAACAATAAAGCCAAACAGGTCCCCAAGAACGGTGCTCGGCTCCGAGCCTAAGGAGCTCGGCTCCGAACCTAAGGAGCTGGCTCCGAGCCTAAGGAGGTGGCTCCGAGCCTAAAAAGCTGGCTCCGAGCCTAAGGAGCTGGCTCTGAGCCTAAGGAGGTGGCTCCGAGTCCAAGGAGCTGGCTCCGAGCCTAAGGAGCTGATCAGTATCTTAGGATATCATTTCCTTAGGATATCATTTTCTTAGGATATCAGTATCTTAGGATATCAGTATCTTAGGATATCAATATCTTAGCTGGGATATCAATATCTTAGGATATCATACAATATCTTAGGATATTATACAGTATCTTAGGATATCATTCGATATCTTAGGATATCATACAGTATCTTAGGATATCATTCGATATCTTAGGATATCATACAGTATCTTAGGATATCATTCGATATCTTAGGATATCATTCGATATCTTAGGATATCATTCGATATCTTAGGTTATCCCCAGAAGATATGCAAGAATCACCTAGACGTTACGCTCTTAAAAGTAGACCGTACTAAATTTTGTTAAAACATTTTGAAGAAATAATTGTAAAACTGAAATCTTGTGTAAATTTTTGCCTGCAAAGCCCGTTTTTCCACCCGCGCGATCCGCCCGCCTGATTAGTGTACAAATATGTTGTACGTTAATATATGCATGCACGCAAGCGTCGCTAATAACTTAGCAACAAATAACAACGTATATAACGATTACATGTTTTTATTGCAAAATATATTACAACTGTTCCAATTCTAACTTATGTTCTTGATAAGCTTGCTTATGATCTGACTCGGTCATCTTAACAGTATATATGTATGTAGAACATTTGCTAAAATAACGTTGAACAACATGTAAATATTGACCTTAACAACGACGTTGACAACTCGGGATTAGAAACTGTTTAGTTTAAAATATGTCTAAAATATATTTAAAATATGATTTTTGTGACGAATAGATTCCTTATTTGCCCTCGTTCGTTTTCGTTCATCATGAGGCAGTCATGTTGTCTTTGACTAGGATGACCGACTTGACAACCATTACAGGATTCTACACAAAGTCTTTCAAGTTTTGGCTGCAAAGCGCTCATGTCTTGTCTAAATCGCTTTCTCTCTTCCCGCACGGATAACCCGCGACGCCCGCGTTTTACTCCTCTAGGAGCTAAATTAAAGGAATCACTTGACAATAACAGCAAAATGCCAGAGCTGTATTATAATATTACTTAACAACAAAACATATAGCTGTATACCCCGAATATATAAGTTTTAGATATATAACACTAATGCTATTTGATATAATATCAGATTTTTACTCCTCTAGGAGCTAAATTAAAGGAATCACTTGACAATAACAGCAAAATGCCAGAGCTGTATCATAATATTACTTAACAACAAAACATATAGCTGTATACCCCGAATATATAAGTTTTAGATATATAACACTAATGCTATTTGATATAATATCAGATTTTTTACTCCTCTAGGAGCTAAATTAAAGGAATCACGCTCGTTAAATCAAACAACCAATCATAGTAAGCCAATCCTAATCCCTCCACTGTATCATAAACGTGGGGGACGCTCAAAAATGCGTAGTCAGCAAGTTTCACACGTTCTTGTTTAAACCTGCCCGCGTGACGTCATTGCATATAATTATGACCTATTTAATGAGTGACGTCATTACGCACCCTCACTGTGCGGCCCCCTTAATTACCTGCATATATAATGATGCGGCCCCCTTGCATAGTAATTACATGCATATATAATGATGCGGTCCCCTTGCGGCCCCCTGCGGCCCCCTGAAAATAAGGGTCGAACGGTACCTATATTACTACTTGAGTGCATTTTTAACAACAACAGTTAATACTGACATGACATCAGACAGGTTTTAAAAATAGTATTTAATTTCCATTCATTGATCTTATTATAAAACTGGCTTTGTCAAGGTTGCCAGTGCAGCCTGTTTCACATTCTGTTGGAGACCCATTGTATGAAGTATACGCGGCTGTCATTTTGATTCTGATGGTGCTTGGACTTTGGTGCATTCTTGCAGCTTTGCATGCCAATGCCAATGGATCTGACAGTCAGTTTAATTTTTAAAATCTTTGTTTGACGATCTCCCTGTCGGCGAAAATGCTCTAGCATGGAGCAGCTATGGACTTAGGAAAACAAGAATGGAATCTATCAAAGATAGAGTTTACCTGTGACTATATGAAAACACCATGATATGGAAAAATTGGACTATGTTCAAAAAATTCGGCTTAGAAATATAAGCCACGATGTGCTTGAACTAAACAACAATCATACCTCCTATGTTACTATTGGCGAAGGACATGGTAAAATTGGAGGATATGATTTAAATGGTTGTCAAGTGTATAATAAGCTTAATTCATCAGAGACCATGCACAGGCCCTTGCATCTCCATATTAGGCATAGTATTCCTGACGGTAAATGTAAAGTTATGGTGAACGATTCGTCTAGTACATGCAAACGGTGACAAGTATTTTGACAGCTATGCTTCGCCATCTGATTGTGTTAAAAAAGTACATCATTGTGTGCGGAATGCTAATTCTACGACGCAGCTTTGGTCTGGCATACGAAAGGTACGAAATGTTAAGACAGTAAGAGTTGTGCCTACGCCTGACGATACATCCATGCAGTCTTGGCAGTTCTGGTGGCTCCTCAGGTCTGGCATGCAGTAGCATGCAGCGACAGTGCAAATTAATTGCATTGCATTGCATTCTATCGCACGAAAAAATGTAATGGAACCTATATATGTCCTGTTCATACTTGCATGACCGCAATTGGGAACTGTATACCCAAATTTCCACTATTGTCTACTTCACTTCCACACGTGACGCATCAAAGTGAGCACAGCTACCGTACGAATCTCCGTGTGGACAGTGGAACCGGTAAGGTTCCGAATTCGTTCGTTTTGTAAGGTTCCGAATTCGTTCATTCTAGCTCATGCGAACGCTTAAAGTCTTTACAATTTTTAAAAATGTATATATATGAAGAATTTAAAAGTTAAGTTGTATATACTTAAGACAAGTTCACACTTGCAATTTTTGCTGCAAGTATTTAGGCGCGATTTTCTGTTGATGGTTGTGAACTAATCTTCTATTAAATTAAAATAAATTAATCTTCTCGTTCACACGCACGCATTAGAAGAAGAAAATCGTAGAAATCGAAATAGAAGAAGTAGTAAAGAGGAAGAAGTATAAAGCCTTTTGGCTCACTTAGATTCGGCGCATGATAAGCGCAAGATTATTACGACTGCAGGCCTTAATTAATCATATTGTACTAAATATAGTAGTACTAAACAGCACCTATATCTTGTCAAGCAAGCTTAGCAGTTTCACAGCCTTGTCAATTTTGTAAATATTGTTTCTGATGTTTGTGGTGTTACTCTGATCAGTGTGCATCCACATCGGGCAAGCTGAAAAGTTCGCTTGGCCACGGTGGGAATCGAACCCGCGACCTTTGGGATACTAGTCCAATGCTCTGTCAACTGAGCTACGCGGTCAAGTCGGTTCGAGTTGGTCGCGGGTTCGACTCCCACCGTGGGCAAGCAAACTTTTCAGCTTGGCCGGTGTGGATGTACACTCAGAGTAACATCACAAACATCATATTCACCTGAGTACATACATAACACCAACACACACAAATATAATATTGTTTCTGTTTGTAACATATAGGTAACGTAATTTTAGCATATATAATTATAATAAACCTAGATATGAACATATTCAATTACTATAAAGACACTAAGACCCTGGTCTTAACAGAGTTTCCAATTGATAACAATGGTCAATGCTTTCTAAAGGAGCCGTTTTAAAAGCAAATTATATACAAAGAACAGAAAATAAATTAGTACATACTTAAACTCGTAGAAACAATGAATACAGTAACAAGTGCATTTCCAAAAGCGTACTCTGTTAAATTGTTGGAATGTAGTATAATAAAAAGATTTTTTTTTCAATTTCAGAGGATTACGACGGTATTTATAAGACAGAACAAACTCCGAATATTCAATACTAACATCTTATTAACTCCGGATTTGAGCTATTGAAACAAGCCAACAAAATTCAAGATAAGTAACTTTTCAGTCAAGTCATTTCATGCATCCAATTAAGTGTGGGAAAACATTTTAAAATAATTCTTGTTATTGAAAACAATTCTGTTGGCTTGTAATTCTTACGGCGATTAAGAAATGCAAGTTTGAATAATATCATTTCATAATATAAAATCAGTCGGTTCCATGCAAATTTAATTTGAGTTTGTAGTAATTGGACATGACCTGTAACTCTTTAATCAAATATAAATATATACAATATAAAAGTACTTAAAATGCTCAATTTCACAATTTTTCATGCAATGTTTGATTTCAAAAAATTAGCCACTTAGTTATAGACTTCAAACTCCTGAAATACAGTATTACTTTAGGATGGTTTATGTGAAATACTATAGCCTTCGTTGGCGAATTACTGCCTGCTCTTTGAATTTCTTATTAAAAATAGTTTGATGCGAAAACAGCTAGCGCTTCTGCCGTTATTTCAACGGCGTTGAAGTTAATCAGTCATTCACATTTCATTTGCATGGTACTGATTGGCTGGATCAATTGAAACCTCAAACGTTCGCATCCCCGCGCGGGCCTCCCGCAAAGATACTCAGTTGCATGACACAAGCCTAAATGTCTCCCTTCATTAATACGCTTTTTACCGGGTTTAAAGTATGGCAAGAATTATTTCCGAGAAAACGTCGCTT